ACTCAGCCAGGTTAAATTGAATTCTCGTCATAAATATGTTACATTGATTTTACCTTAAAAAGTTTGATTTTTTCTCGTAGTTATTTTATTTTTTATGTTGGCCGAAAAAATTTCCAAATGCTTTCAACTCACTTAATTATGTATATATGTACTGTACCGGAATTTGGCCAGCAAATAAATGGGGAGCACAAAAAGAAAAAATAATGAAAAAAAGTTATTTTAACATATTTTGTTCTCATGCCAAAGTGTTTCGCAAAATTTTACAAATAACTTTTGAACGGACCTATGTATATACATTAGGGTGCTTTTTTTTTGCGACTATTTTTTTTTTTCGGTCCAATCGTGAAATTTTGTTGGAAATACCCAAAAAAAAATTCCCTGAAAGTTTGAGCCCTTAATATTAATTTTAAGTACTCGGCCAAGGCGTGTGAAGATTTTCCATTTAAAATACACGGGAACTTTAATTTTTTTTTTTTAAATTTCTATAGCTCAGCGGCATTTAATGGTATCACCTTGTCCAAAATGGCGATTTTCTCAGCATTAAATGCTCTACAAAAGTGCCCACTGCGGCGAAGTCGTAACTCACACCGGCGAGGTAGTACGGGCCACTAAACCTGATTTTTTCATGAAATTTACGTTTTTTCGCATTTATCTCGTAAATGACAAGAGCTATAGAAAAAATGTAAATGAGAAACTTGTAGGAAATTTTATTTTCTACAAAAAAACTCATGAGCGCTTAATCGCTAACTTCAATACTGCTTGAGATATTTCAATTTTAAGTTTATGAAGTTTTAAATTTTTATCAAAAATCACGTAAAATTATAAAAAATATTGTTCTTTTATTATTTTTCACTACTTTTTTAACTAATTACCTGTTTTTTAAGACAATATTTTTTATAATTTTACGTGATTTTTGATAAAAATTTAAAACTTCATAAATTTAAAATTGAAATATATATAAGAATCCACATTTATTTACTTGTACAAATGAAATTTGTGTGAAAATAATATGAAAATTTCCGCAATGTAAGTTAGTGTAGATGTTATTGTTGTCATTGCATTTGACACGCGAACACACTTAACGGAATTACGAAATTTATTTTTCAGTTATTTGGGTTGCTGGTATACAATTAGAACTACACATACGAAGGCGTACTGAAGAGTCCCTAAACTACCTAAGCAAAAAAAAAACAAAGTTTTTAGGTAAAAATTGTCTTACTGGTTTTAATTATTTATGCACTCCTACATACGCTCAAACCAGTTAGTGAAGCATATTTCCCTCTCTGAAGTCGGTTTTAAAGAAGCGGGTTTTTTGAATGCATTAACAGCTTCTGCTGGCGCTGAAACTCGTTGTCGGTGAAGTTTATCCCTAATCTACGGTAACCAAAAAAATAAATAAATTAGGTTCAAAATCAGGACGAACCGTTGGTCACTTCATAAATTTGATGTTTTGGGTGCTTAAAACATTATTTGGCAAGATGCGTGAAAGCCCGAATTTTCTTGATGAACAACTGTTTACCGTTATTGATTATTTTTCCTCCATTTATTCAAAACAGTTGGCGGTTTACCACTCATACTTAACTGAACGAAACTCCGCTAATGCCACCATAGCCACATGACCCATTATTACAAGAAAAAGATTGCAAATTTGTTACAAAATGCTGTTTGCCTGAATAACTTTTGTTGGTTTTACTTATTTTGAAAGATCCATACTGCTGATGGGCCTTTTCTTTGTAGCTCCTACGCATATATCCCAATTACCTGAATTACAATGATTCTATTTAACTGTTTGGACATAGCGCTTATATTTTTTCAGCATTCATCCGCAATCCAATTGGCATAAGCCTTTAAACTGCTGTTGCGTTAATCCACGTCGCAATTCGTAGAAAATCATTAAATTTTTTTGTTGACTTACAACTTTGAAGTAACTGTAGATACTGTAAAATTTTCTGAGTACGTTAAGTTGCGAAAAATCTCAAATTGTATGATGAAAACGTTATATCGGCTCAAATGACAGTAGTTTTTCGAAATCTAAAGACTAGTTCAGTGACCCTCGTATGGCAGGTGAAATTAAGTGGCGTCTGTATGTAAGTATGTTACAAGCATTTTTCAGTTAGTAAACTGACTGGCGTTTTAATAAATTTAAATATTTTTCAGATATCTAAAGAAAATTGTCAGGTATTTGATCGCGTACATACATATAATACCTACATACTGTTAACTTAATTCACAAGGGCCCTAGCCAGCCCTTTTCGAAACTGCGTTTTTCACAAATTTTAAAATGTTAGTGCCAAAAACAACGGAGTCTGCTGTTTTGATTTTCTTTTGTAAAACTTTATTGAAAATTTGCTGTACTTTGTTTTTAATAATCTGAAATCAATGAAACTTCCGTATATTTTCATTTCTCAAACCACAAAATTTGTTTTGTATTTATTTGTGTTGTTATTTCTTTGTCCAAATTTTCTTTAAAAAAAAACTTTTTTAACGCCCTTACTACTTTTTTCGATTCATTATTTCAGCTAAGACAACTTTTAATGTTATGAAATATATTATAATATTTTTTACAGAACTGGTTAACTTATGTATGTATATGAAAATATCTCTGCATACGTACATATGTCTACAGTGCCACATTTACAGAACACTGTTACCATTCGTCAATGCTCATTTCGTCTTTTATTAACAACATTTCGTTGAGTACAAAAAATATCCCATTATAATTACTCCTGCAGCCAACATGCATGCCATTATTTTCCTTAATGTACTGACGAGTATGAGAGAGAAATTATGTGAGCAAAAGAGAGAAATTATGTTAACAAAGGAGAGCAAATAAGAAATATGAAAGTAGGAATACTCACTCAATATAGAGCTTGTTGGAGTGGACAAAGTATACCAAATCAAAGAAAGTGGACTATGTAGGCCCATATAAAAATCATTATTTCTTCGTCCTTATACACAGTAATAAAAAGTGAACCCATCTCTGAAAGTACAATCGAATTACTCCTTAATGTATATATTTGCAATACATTTAACTCCACAAGTATTTACTAGTCAGAGACCGAATGCTAGCAAAGCGGTTTCCACAAAACAAAGCAACATGGAAATCACTCCACTCTTGCTACACAAATACTGCAAGGACAAAACTGAGTGAACTGCAATTGAAAGGGAGTTCCCTTCCAATTCATTTTTGTTAGGTCGCGTGACCTAGCAAGATCTGTCGTGATAACACTTACGCATGAAGTCACTTCAAACCTTTGGCTATTTATAAAATTAAGGTCCATCTGCAGCTCTTAAGAAAAATCAGAAGAAATATTTTTCTTTATCTATTTGTATTGTATTGAAAAAGTGCTTTGCTGCTGTTGTAAATTTTCCTGAAGAAAGACATAAATTTACGAGCATTTTTTTCTGGGGAACTGTATTGTTATTTAAGAAATTTTTGTAGAAGAGAATTTCATTTCCATTTATTGTGCGTCATTTAATATGAATTTTTCGTTATTTTTGAGAGCTACAAGTAGGCCTTTAAGCAAATATTGATGAAGACAACATTCATTTCCTAGGCTGTAAAGGCCTGTAAGTCGCAATAGGTAAGCGTATTATACGTTTTAAAGTTTTCTTCGTCAGCCCATAAAAGTTGTAGCCTATCTACTTAGAAAAAAAGGTACTATTTTATAAATATGTTATTACCTTAAATCGCAGTTCATAGACTCTCCCGGCTAAGGTTAAGGAGTCGTTCGAAGATCCACGTTTGGTAGTTTTAAATCTGATTGACTGTATCTTATCCTTTGAAGAACGCCATTGGGCTGCAACCAGTAAGTCTTCCCATCTCCTTGGAATCTCTGCCAATTACACCTTGAATGAACAGTAGAAAGGCTGATTTTCATCCAGGTTAAGTTGGACTGCGCGTTTCGCGAGATTATCAGGTCTTTCGTTTCCATAAATCGGTAATGACCTGAAATCTCCATAGGATGACTTCCCACGCGTTGCTAGTTTCTTCAGTAGACTTTTCCAACTATCTACTAGCCTCCATTCTAATTTATAAATTTGGTATATGATGGGTTATATCGCTACCTAAACGCGAAAAGGTGCCAATTCAATTTTTTTAATTTATTTTCTGAAACGTAATCAGAGGTAATGCTAAACTACATCGGCTTTTCTTTTCTCCT